GGGGGGGTGCAGGGGAGAGGGGGGGCTCCGTGTGCTATATTTAACATCTTCAGCTTTAAACATTTAGGTGAGATCTAAGTGGAAAAGAAGAGCTGGAGACCCGTTCGGGCTGCGGTACGGCAGCCTGGGCGTGATGGAGAAGTGATGGAGAAGTGATGGAGGGAGATGAACACCCTCTCCAGTCTGGTTTTTCTGTTCAATTTCTGACCATCATGCATTAAAGCTCCGTGTAGGAAAGGAGTCCTGGGTGTGTGAGCCTGCATTAGCTGCCACTGCTGCTGCCACTGCTGCTGCTGCTGCTGCTGCAGCGCTCACGGGTTTATGCACGGCAGCCAGTCAGAGGAACCAAATGCAGCATCCTCAGGTTAAATGAAGAGGCTGCTGACATGCGACACGAGGGGCGCACCAGGAGCGCAGTGGGTTCAGGCGATCAAACAGGGGGAACAGGCGTTCACAGCGCACATCAATGGACATAGAAGTGTAAAGGAAAAAAAAATCATACCTAAATGGTGTGATGTGTGTCTTCTTCCCTCTGGGAGCGATGTGGTTGCTGTGCCAATGCGCAGCGCTGGTCCGCTTCTCCTGACGTCAATAAAGACCATGCGTAGTGAAGCCAAAAAACCACTCTCTCTACACTGTGGTCTACGAGTCACCCTTTACTCCAGCTACTGTTACATGTGAGCTGATTTGTGCACGTGTGTTCTTCTCCCCCCCACCTCTCTGCAGTGGAGCTGGTGATGTTCCTGTTGCAGAGTAAGCACCAGCGATTTAAGGTTTCCCTCCGGTGTCAGCACAAATGGAGAAGCCCGTTTAACTGGAGCAGCTTCACCGGTGATCACACTCATATATGTCCTACCCCCGCCCCGCACCCCCCCACAAAAAACAACTATCACCGACTCGTCCTCCCTCCGGAACTGTTCTATATTATTAATAGGCTAAAGCGAACATTTTTTAAAAGGGTGATGTGGCATCAGCTTCCAGCAGGGGGCGGAGGTTGTTGTCACAAAAGTTTATTTTTAGACTTTTAAAAATCATTTTGGTGACTTACACAATACAGAATACAGAAGACTTTTACAATAGGTTTAATGAACAGAACAGAAATCACCTTCGATGACTGACACCACCTAGACTATAACATTTGTGCAAGTAAATCAGAAAGTGTAATAATCTAGTAATTTCGTATTATTGCGGGAGTTCGACATTTTTTAATATATATTTATACAAATAATAATATATGTATTTTAATATATTTTTTCTAATTGTTGTTTTTGAATATACTGTACATTTAACAGATTGGCGGTTGACGCTTGCGTTAGTCCTCCGTTACTCTAGGGGGCAGCATAATATCAAGTCACCTCTTTGTTGTTTTCCGGGCCGGAGTTTTCAAACAACAGTAGTAGCTAGCAAGCTACCAGCTACATATTTCTTGCTCAGGGAACTGCGGTGGGCTATTGACTGTTTCGGGTGTGAGTTTTTAAAACGTGTTTTTCACCCATTTCTGGTCGTGTGTGTCTATAATGTAGCTTCCTTATATTTAAGTTGGCGGCGGGAATCCTGTAACTATAACAGGCTAATGAAGACATGCTAAGCGCCGCTCGTCCGGGTGCTTTGTCTCACATTCAACAGAGCGAGTGCTAATGCCTTGTTATGTTATTGTACCGTAATAATCAGTGAGTGAAATGAGAAACGGGTGTTTGGGTGAACTGTTTTTACCCAGTGAGGTCCGAACTGTAATGTAACTTTTTTTTTAAAAATTTTAATAAGTAAATCATCTCTGTGTTGTTGTTGTAGATCGCGGGCTCGATTGTTGATAAACAATGTCAGCGAGCTCCAAAAGGAGGAGAGCGACTTCACCCTCCAGCAGCGTGAGTGGAGCCGGGGACCTCGATGACACCGCCTCTACCCCTGGTAGTGGTAGGAAGAGAAGAAGAGTCACCAACGTTACTCCAGTAGACATGGTAAATGTACTTTATGTACTGTATTGTACTGTATTGTACTATAGTCTACGAGTACAGGAAGTTGTACAGCTGAAGTCTCCTCTTCACATTTGCTCTTTCAGATCGCTGTGTGCCACGAGTTGTTCAACGCTGTCAGGGAGCACAAGGATGACCACGGCAGACAGCTGAGTGATGTTTTTCTAAGGGTACCAAAGAGAAGGTACTGGAGCCTCCTGTGACCAGACTACATCCTGTTTTCACACTACCTACAGCTGCAGCTCTGTGTGATAATGGTTGTATCTTCTCTTTTTTTTTGTAGGAATCAGCCTGATTATTACGAAATTGTGTCTCAGCCGATTGATTTGACAAAGATTCAGCATAAGCTCAAGTCGGAGGATTATAATGACGTGGAGCAGCTCACCGCGGATTTTCAGCTCATGTTCAAAAATGCAAAATCCTTCTACAAGGTATAAGAACAGTTGTACTTGCTGTTGAAAGTCAAACAGGTTTTAAACAGATTCTAAATTGTATACTGTACATTTTTTATTTTTTATGTTCAAAATGCAGAGAGACAGCGAGGAGTATCAGGCGGCATGTAAGCTGTGGGAGGTTTATTTACTAACGAAAAACGAGTTTGTGCAGCCTGGAGAAGGAGATGCTGATGATGAAGACGGCGAGGAGTCGATGGATAACACAGGGATGTCTGCTGAAGAGGAGGCAAGAGACTTGATTTTTTTTTTTTTTTTTTTAAAGATGTGCATATCTTATCATATCTGTGATACACATGTACACGTATCTCATCATATCTGTGATACACATGTACACGTAGTCATCAGAACTCCCCCGACTCAAGTCTGATTTCTTCTGTTTAGACTTCAGTTGGGAGTTTGAAGGAGGTTTTGGAGCAACTGCTGGAGGCGGTTGTGTCGTACGCTGACCCCTCAGGGCGTTTGGTCAGTGAACTGTTCCAGAAACTGCCGTCCAAAGTGGTAAGACTGTTGTGATCCCTCTTACTGAATCAACACTGCAGTTTTACTTGTATCGACTTGTTGAAAGTTCTTCCTGCTCAGCCGTCTATACCTGATGTGTTTGAACTGTTTGTTGTTCAGCATTACCCAGACTACTATGCCATTATCAAGGAGCCAATAGATTTGAGGACAATTGCGCAAAGAATACAGGTATTCACCCAAGGCAAAATGTGTTGTTTTGAGTTTTACACATTCGTCTCGATGGTTCGTTCTGACTGACGCTGGCTGTGTTTGTGTTTGTGTAGATTGGATATTATAAAAGTCTCAATGCTATGGCCAAGGACATTGATCTAATGGCCAAAAATGCCAAAACCTACAACGAACCAGGATCTCAGGTTTTTAAGGTAAACTCCTTCTCTTTTTTTTTTTTTCTCTAATGACATTTTTTCAACATTAACTAATGTTTTCTTTTTCTTTTTTTGTTTAGGATGCTAATATGATAAAGAAAGTTTTCATCCAGCGTAAGACAGAACTTGAACATGCTGAACCCACCAAATCCAGTGTGCGTATCAGGTATGAAACTTTATTTTTTCTATATATATATATAATAGCAAATATGACCAATTTTCTGGATAAAGACAGATTTTTTTTTTTTTTTTTTTTCACGATTTTCTGGTCAGTATGAGCTGCTGAAGGTGAAGAGGAACTCGCCTCCCCTCGTGTCGTATCTGAACGTGTCGATGTTTTCAGGCTCTGTTTGCTACGACGAGGGAGAGTCCGAAGCTGAGAGTCAGAGTTCCAGTATGGAGATGAGCAACCCAATCTTCCAGTTATATGAAGCTGTGAGAGGCGCCAGGAACAACCAGGGCCAAGTCTTCTCCGAACCGTTCCAGCAGCTGCCGTCTCGCAGGGAGTACCCTGATTATTACCAGCAGATCAAACAGCCAATCGCTCTGCAGCAGATCAGGTGAGGAGTCATTTAAAGAAAACATTTCATATTGACTGAGTTCACATGGGTCTGAACTCAACAAATGAAACGGAAAAAAAATGTGTTCCTTTTTTCGTTAGGGCAAAGATGAAGAACGGTGAATATGAAAATGTGGAGCAGATGGAGTATGACCTCAATACGATGTTCGAAAATGCAAAACGCTACAACATGCCTAACTCAAGCATCTACAAGCGGGCCTTCAGGCTGCAGCAGATCATGCAGGTAAACAGACATTTATCCAACCTGTGTGTGGTTCTTCTGCTGACCCTCTAGGGCCCACGGGCCCCCCGTTGAAAACCTTGATTTAGGTCACAGCACCATGACAGGCTGAAGTTTAATTGTCCGCCTCTAATAACCACTGAACTGTTACTTATTACTGAAGTATTTTGCCCTCTGTATCTGAACAGTCAAAGAAGAGGGAGCTCCTGAGGAGAGACGACGACGATGGAGACAGCATCCTGTCCTCTGACGCAGGGAGCGTCAAGAGAAAAAGGTGAAGCGGCCTTTGATTTTCTTAAGCTGTTAAACTCAGGAGTGAAGTGTTTATGAAAAAATATTACTCAATAATACAATTATAAATATACCCATATTAACCTGTGTTTTTTTTTTTTTTAAGCCATAAGAAAAATTTCAAAAAGAACCGCATGAAGGCCCTGTACGCTGCCGTGACGGAGGCCAAGGAGGCCGGCCTCAACCGACGTCTCTGTGACCTTTTCATGGTCAAACCATCCAAAAAGGATTATCCCAACTACTACAACGTCATCCTGGAGCCCATGGACCTGAAGACCATCAAACACAACATTCACAATGAGCGCTATGTCACGGAGGAGGCTCTGATGGACGACATGAAGCTGATGTTCCGCAACGCCAGGCATTACAATGAGGAGGGTTCACAGGTAGAGGGCGTCGGTCGCTTCAGTTTGTTTCTGCTTTCAGTGGATAAATAGTAACTGTTTGATGACCTACATACGCTGACACCAAACTTCCACGGCTTAGGTTTACAATGATGCTGATATTTTGGAAAAGATACTGATGGACAAACGGAAGGAGTTAGGACCTGCTCCAGAAGAGGAGGACGTGGGCTCTCCAAAACTGAAACTCAGTGAGTTTGATTGTATCAAGTGTTTTGCAATTTTGCACTTATTTGTTGCATTTTTTTTGGTTCAGGATTCTTTGGGATTTTTTCAGTTCTTAAAGCAGTTTGAAGGTTACTGTTTTTCTTGTGGTAAAACTTTTTTTAAAATGTTTTTGTTGTCTAGGAAAGACTGGTGTTTCTCCAAAGAAATCCAAATACCTCACGCCTCTCCAGCAGAAGCTGAATGAACTCTACGATGCTGTGCGTAACTTCACTGACCGCCGAGGCCGCCGCCTCAGCACCATCCCGCCTGCCATCGCGCTCCGAGTTGCCTGATTACTACGCCAACATCAAGAGACCCATCGACATGGAACGCCTGCGCAGCCACATGGCGGCTGGTCGTTACCAAGATGTTGAAGCTCTGGTGGAGGACTTTGCTCTGATGTTCAACAACGCCTGCATCTACAACGAACCAGAGTCCCTCATCTATCGCGACGCTCTGGTGTTGCACCGCGTGCTGCTGGAGACGCGTAAGCAGCAGGAAGGAGGCGAGGACTTCGGGCCCCCGGCCGTGGGACCTCTGGTGCGGGAGCTGATTAGGAACCTCTTCGTGTCTGTGATGAGCCACCAGGACGAGGAGGGTCGATGCTACAGCGACTCGCTGGCGGAGGTCCCCGCCGTGGATCCCGTCGCCCCCGAGAAACCGCCGCTTAACTTCGATATCATACGGATCAACGTGGAGCGAGGACGCTACAGGAGACTGGACATTTTCCAGGAACACGTGTTTGAGGTGCTGGAAAAAGCACGGAAGCTGAACAGGTGCCTGTGGTTCTTTGAAGCCTCCGTGATTCTGTGTTTAGTATTAAAGTTGTTTTAGTAACAAAGTCTGTTTTTTTGGTTGTTTTTTTTTGCAGGACTGATTCTGAGATATTTGAAGATGCTGTGGAGCTGCAACAGTTCTTCATCAAAATCAGGGACGAGTTGTGCAAGAATGGAGAAATCCTACTCTCCACCGCCGTCAACTACACAATAAAACACCTGCACAGTGATGTGGATCAGGAGAAGAGGGAAAAAATCCCCAAAGAGATCGAGGAGGACAAACAAAAGAAGGAAGAAGAGGGAGTCAATAAAGGTGTTCATTAAGTCATTAAGTCAAGGATCAGGTTTAAAGACCGAGTTTGAATTTGGTGCTAATTTTAAAATCCTTTTTGTCCTCCAGACAGTGAGAAAATTGCGGACGATCCGGGAAAAACGTGGCAGCCGGAGTCAGAGCCTCAGCGTGTCTACAGTCAGGACTGCAGCTTTGAGAACAGCACATACCATGTGGGAGACTTTGTTTATGTGGAGCCTTCAGAGCCGAACCTGAAGCCACATGTCGTCTGTATCGAACGTCTGTGGGAGGACGAAGCCGGTACATAAGACTTTGTTTTAAAAACACAAATAAAAAACGTTGCTAATTTCATGATTTTAACAATTTAAAAACCACTGCCCCTGCAGGTGAGAAGTGGCTCTACGGCTGCTGGTTCTACAGACCCAACGAAACCTTCCACCATGCCACGCGCAAGTTTTTGGAAAAGGAGGTCTTTAAAAGTGACTACTACAACAGAGTGTCCATCAGTAAAGTCCAGGGCAAATGTGTGGTCATGTTTGTGAAGGTAACAACAACAACGTCCAGAAATCCAACCAAATGCTGTAATCGTCCCTTTAGGAAATCATTCCCTCTCTTCTGACCTTTTTTTTTTTTTTCTCCCTTCGTAGGATTATTTCAAACTGCAGCCTGAAGGCTTCAGACCCGAGGACGTCTACGTCTGTGAATCGCGCTACGCTGCCAGGAACAAGTCCTTCAAAAAGATCAAGCTGTGGGCCATGTCCGGGAGCTCCGTCAAGTTCGTTCCTCGGGAGACGTCGCTGCCTGTGGTCCGTGTCGCCTCCATATTTGCCAAGCCTGACCTGGACAAGCTGACGGTGTCCTCTGCAGACGGAGGCAGCTTCGTGGACAAGGTAAGAAGACAAAGTAAAGTGCCACAACATAAAAAGAAATGTATTATTCTCATTGTTCTGATGGTCTATGGAATATGTGTCAAACTAAAGGCCCGCGGGCCAAACACGGCCCACCGAGTATTGATTGAGTTGAGCGGGAACTCAAGAAGTGTTTAATTACCTTATAATAAAATCCATGCCTCTGAGTTTATTAACTTGATATTTTTTTTATTATTACAAAGCAATTAAACAGATAAAAGTAATAGTCAGTTTTATCAAGTTAAGAATTTGTTTGTCCCGTTTTTTGTTTTTTTTTTGTGTAGGAGAGAGAGAACGTCCCCATGGAGACGAACGCAGCCGAGCCTGGCTGTCAATATTATGAGCAGTTATTTTGCAACAACACGTGGTTTAAAGTGGGAGATTGTGTTTACATCCAGTCTCATGGTCTGCCCAGGCCCAGGGTTGCCAGGTAGGCTGACCTCTGACCCAACTGAGCATTATTGAAATTTAAGTACTTCGTAAAGCAGTTATTTTCACAGTTTTGTTGTTGCTAATTCCCTTGTTTTTACTGCAGGATAGAAAAGCTGTGGGTTCAGGTTTAAATTTTAGTACTATGTACGTAAAGCAGTTATTTTCACAGTTTTGTTGTTGCTAATTCCCTTGTTTTTACTGCAGGATAGAAAAGCTGTGGGTTCAGAACGCATCGGTTCTCTTCTTTGGACCGATTTTCATTCAACCTGAGGAAACTGAGCACGAACCCACGAAGATGTTCTACAAAAAAGAAGTTTTCCTGAGCAATCTCGAAGAAACTTTGCCCATAACCTGTGTCAAAGGTTCACATTCAGCAGCTTCAGAGTCTTTTCATGATTCACTGCACATCAAATGAGAAACCTCATCGACCAATCACCTTCATCTTCTCCTCCCTCTAAGGCAAATGCGTAGTTTCGTCCTTCAAAGACTACCTGTCCTGCAGACCCACTGAGGTCCCAGAAGACGACGTCCTGCTGTGCGAGAGCCGCTACATTGAGACGGAGAAACAGATGAAGAAGTTTAAAGGTCTCAAACGTTTCTCCTACACGGCCAAAGTGGTGGAGGACGAGATCTACTACTTCAGGTGAGTCATGAATTCACACCACGCACTCTGACGTGAGGTGTGAAAATGTGTTTGTGACATGTGGTTTTTTTTTTTACGTTGTTCTCAGGAA